GTTCTCGTACAAACACGCCTACTTTAAAATGTTATGGCTGATAAAATAGAGTAATAAAAAAGAAGTACTGTGTGAAAACACAGGTGAAAACTTGTTCTCGTAAAACTGGTATGCGCCATTAAATTTTTTATGCGTTTTTTAAATATTCAAATTAAAAGTGTGGTCGTAAATGAACCATTACTTTTCTTGTGTGGTTGAAAACAAAGGCATGAGAAAAAGAAAATCAGACGAAGTTGGTCCTATAATGAAAGTAGATGTGATGCTTTTGGTACCTTAAAGGAACTAACGCAACATCGGAAATTTATCCTGTACTTTGAGAAAGGCCATCGTGATTGAAGAAACATCAGTAACGAGTAATTTCAATATACAGGGTGTAAACGTTATGATAGTCATTGGTTTCAGTTGTTATTGGACCAGCCCCATAAGGCATGCCTTTAAGTTCTCCCCAATACCAGAAATCCATCGGATTGAGGTCAGGTGATCTTGCTGGCCATTTTCGAGGATCACGAGCATTTCGACCGATCCAGCGATTTGGATAATGTTCACTCAAATACTGAACGACGCCTCTAACAATGTGTGATGGTGTCTCCGTTGTAATGGCATGTTGTGTAAGGTCTGTTCCAAAAGTTCTGGTAGGTTATTGGCTACAAAGCTAAGGTATCGTTCTCCTGACAAATTTGGGGGTAACTCGAAAGGGCCAATTACCTGATCGTCAAGAATACCCGCCCAAATATTTATTTTAAAACGTTGTTCGAAAATGACCTTCACGAATGGTATGGGGATTTTCTTGGGTCCACGTGTGAGTATTATGGAAATTTAATATCCCGTCTCGCGTAAAAGTACCGTCGCTAGAATGTTTTTAAAAAATCCTTGTACATGGTAGAGATAAAGCAAATTTCCTCGTAGGATTCTCTGGACTACGGTATGCGATAGTCCTACGCGGCAGCCTAATTCCCGAGGGCTGATATCTGCATTGATTTCCACGATATTTAAAATTTGTACCTCCTGCTCTACAGTAACCTGTCTTTCACGAGTGCGAATATTAGTGTGCTGAACACTTCCTGTATCTGTTTGGTATACAGGTCGCGATAAATTTGAGCTGCAAGATTTGAATTCTGACGAGCTTCACCGTAAACTAACAACATGCCGGCGAACTCTTGGTTTGAGAACATTGTAAATAAAGACGACGACGTACGCGAACAAAAACAAAACAACACGCCTGCTGCCCGATAACTAACCACTGTTACCGTTTGCGATCGATTGCCGGTTCGATAAGGGTGACGAGAGGCCGACGCGCTGTTGTCATGTGTGTTATAAATATTTAGTTTAATGAAACTTACTGACTACAAATTTTGGCTTAATTTAGAAAAACTTAATGCCATTTATTTGTTAATTACAAAATTTAAAAACGTTTTAGGTTAGATTATTTTAGACAAAAATCTAATGACTTTTGGACCATGGGTCAAATGAACTTTTTGACTTGTCTTGACCCCCCTATTACCCATTTCAATAATGATTACCGTAAAGTTTACACCCTGTATAAGATTTTATTTAGATAAAGCAATAAGGGGTTTCAAAGTAAGTCTCGCAATATGGAAACCTTAATCAGTCTACACTCTAAAATTCACGGTTGATAGTAGTAGAGTAGTAGTGGTAGAAAGATTTATTGAGCGCGTTTGGCTATACAGGGTGTCCGCAAAGTTGGGGTTTTCCTTTACACGACGTGTAGATCTTGAAAACATAAGCAATTTTTCTTAGTACCATATACACCAATGTCTTAAGGGAACCGAGATAAAGGGCTCTGCAACATCAAAAATATCTGAATACCGTCCTGTAGCCGCGACCCGCCGCGATATCCCAGACTGGTACCAGCTACTAGCTGAACCCGACGACAGAACTGGGCCTGCTTTCCTATCATATATTCTAAACTATTATTTTTCTATCTCTCCTTCTCAAACTTATTTTTCACTTCCAGCGTATAGTTTGATAGCAATTAAGAAATAAATTGTATATTCATACAATGTTTACAGATTTGTATATACATATTTTATTTTTACTCGTCGTACCATAAAACATTCTCGGCGAGGTAGAAGAATTTTCATTTCATTAGAAAGAAAATTCTTTGGCATATCGGGGGCGGTGTAGTATGTTAAGATCATACTATACAGGGTGTCCCAGAAGTCGACGTCAAGCCGAAACCGGGTGATAGGCAAAGTCATAACAGCTATCAGAAAAATATTTAAAAAAATTTTATGTATGTGTTTTGAAAATTATAGGTCTTTGAAAAAAATATAGAAATTTCACAGCCTACGGCAGTCTGTCAACTCCTGTTACTACAAATATTAACTTTTTTTGGATTTTACTTTTACAATGTAATGATGAATAATGCATCTTCAAACTGGTGTCTCAACCATACTGCCAACTTTTCTCGTTCAGGAAAAATTGCCACTTATTTCCCAACCAAGTATTCCAAAGTAAAACTTTGCTCAACTTTAACTGGCTGTACTGGAAAAAAATGTACTACGAGAGTTTGGCAAGTAACCTTAAAAGTTGGCGCATTTAATAACGATTCCAAAATGGTATAACACTTAGAAGATTACTCGTTAACTTATGCATAATTTTTATTTGAAAAAAAAAATGATGAAAATTTTTCAAAATTTCCTAATTAAACAGCGATTATGAAAACGCACAAGGACCCTTAATGATAACTGTTTGCACAACAGTGGGCGTCAACATGCTGCTGATGATGATTTACCTTTACAGCAAATGCTCAAACTGTTTTCCTTCAGCCGCAATACACGCTCGACATCTTCTTAAAAAAGATCGGGTTATTAAACGAGCGAATCCACGGTTATTAACAAACTCAGCTGCTTCCAATAGTCTTTGCCGTAGCTCAGCTACATTTTGAATCGGCTTGAAATGCACTTTTTCTTTTACAGTTCCCCAGTAAAAAAATCTAAAGGATTCAAATCAGGTGATCGGGCTGGCCACGGTATTGTACCAGACCGCCTTATCCATCTGCCTGGAAAGTTGATTTTTGTCGCACAATGTTAGAAAGACACAGGGAAGATCCACGGTTCTTTGAAAAAATTTTATGGTCAGATGAGACCACATTTAAGAAAGATGGATACATGAACCTGCATAACTTACACGAGTGGCACGTAGCAAACCCACATTTGATGAGAGAAGATAAATCTCAATATCGCTTCAAGATAAACCATTGGACAGGAATTTTAAATGGTAAAATAATCGGTCCGTTTGAGTTCCCAGAGACTTTGACTGCTGAGGTTTATTCAGGTTTTTTGCAAAATCATTTAGAAAATTTATTGGAGGACGTGCCACTGAGTATTTACAGGGACATGTGGTTTCAGCATGATGGCTGCCCAGCGCACTATGCACTCTTAGTGAGAGAGTATCTCGATCAAAACTTTCCAGGCAGATGGATAGGGCGGTCTGGTACAATACAGTGGCCAGCCCGGTCACCAGATTTGAATCCGTTAGATTTTTTTTACTGGGGAACTGTAAAAGAAAAAGTGTATTTCAAGCCGATTCAAAATGTAGCTGAGCTACGGCAAAGACTATTGGAAGCAGCTGAGTTTGTTAATAACCGTGGATTCGCTCGTTTAATAACCCGATCTTTTTTAAGAAGATGTCGAGCGTGTATTGCGGCTGAAGGAAAACAGTTTGAGCATTTGCTGTAAAGGTAAATCATCATCAGCAGCATTTTGACGCCCATTGTTGTGCAAACAGTTATCCTTAAGGGTCCTTGTGCGTTTTCATAACCGCTGTTTAATTAGTAATTTTAGAAAAAATTTCATCAGTTTTTCTTCAAATAAAAATTGTGCATAAGTTAACGAGTACTCTTCTAAGTGTTATACCATTTTGGAATCCTTATTAAATGCGCCAACTTTTAAGGTTACTTGCCAAACTCTCGTAGTACATTTTTTTCCAGTACAGCTAGTTAAAGTTGAGCAAAGTTTTACTTTGGAATTCTTGGTTGGGAAATAAGTGGCAATTTTTCCTGAACGAGAAAAGTTGGCAGTAAGGTTGAGACACCAGTTTGAAGATGCATTATTCATCATTACATTGTAAAAATAAAATCCAAAAAAAGTTAATATTTGTAGTAACAGGAGTTGACAGACTGCCGTACGGTGTGAAATTTCTATATTATTTTCAAAGACCTATAATTTTCAAAACACATACATACAATTTTTTTAAATATTTTTCTGATAGCTGTTATGACTTTGCCTATCACCCGCTTTCGGCTTGACGGCGACTTCTGGGACACCCTGTATATATAATATATTGTTATTAGAAACTTGTCAGGTATTGTAAGTAATATAATTCTGCTAAGCTAGGCAGAGGAAAATTTTATTGATGGTCAATACAAAAACCTGAAAAACATATTCAAATTTCTAAAATGGCCGCTAGGGGGCGTAACTGCAACCTTGAATCTAAAAAAAAGTGATGTTTCTGTGAATTCTGCAATATCAACCTAACAAAAAATACCTGATCTTTAAAGTCGAGGATAGTGTGAACTTTTTTGTTTGGCCTTTTTTACTGTATCTCTAAAAATAAAGTGGTGCGGGGTATCAAAAGGTCTCCGAAAAAAAACCCGCAACCTCGAAACGGCTGAGCCGATTTTAAGAACTTTGGACTAATTAAAAAGAGCTATTTTTGGGCTACAAACGTTATAATATCTGAAGTCTAGTTAGTTTCACATGTGGCCTCTAGAGGGCTTTTTCGACAGAAATGGTTAATCTTCTCAAAAAAAATTAAAGCACTGGTATGATTTTTTTTATGAAAACGTAGCTACACCCTGTATAAATAGCCGTGACAAAACTCAGCGTTATTATTTAACTGAGACACGTCATTCCTAAAACATTTTTGTAGTTTTTTTTTCTAATTTTTCGTTGTAAATCAAAAGTTTTAAAAGCAATCCAAATAAACGGGGCCGCCCCTGTTTATTGAGAAAATGCTGGAAAGAAAGACGAAAATACTCACTCAAACGAAGGATTTTCATCTTCGTCGTCGGACTCAAACAAGTTGAAACTAGTTTTGGGTACTGATATCCTTTTTCGCCTGACAGGTTGCGGTGGTTCTTTCTGCTCCTCGGTGTCGTCATCATCTTCGAAAGGATTCAGGCTGATTCTTTTAGGCAAGACTTTTCCCGGTGTTACTACCTGCTTATCTTCCTCAGAAGCCAATATTTTCTTTAATCTGCAGGATAAATTTCTCAAATAATTATTCAGCAGAAATCTGCAATATACAGGGTGTTCGAAAAATAGACGAAGATATGTTAGAGGGTGTTTTCTTGTTATTAATATCTTAAACAATATTTAATCGATTCTGTTGAAATTTGGCAATATTATTTGTTCTATCAAGATGCTAACTCAGCGCTAAATGGGTTAAAATTACTAGGTCCAGTGGCGTCCTGGGGGGCACCTTATCGAATATTGTACGCCACTGCCTCATTTATAACTTTAATATTTGTTATTTGATTGAGCATCTAAAAATACAACTTTGCCTCTTGTATTTTTTCGTCTCACTTTTTGAGAAAACAAATAAACAGCGGTGATCTTTTGTTTTAGGTTTTAACGGAAAGCTGTACCGTTTCGGAAACTAGAAACTCGCCGCTTTACGCGAGTAATAACGAGGGCGTAGAACGTTTTAAAACGACTGTTAAAAAAAAAATTTGGTGTTCGATATTCAATTTCTATCTCCTCCAAAGATATCGGAGCTACGAACCTATCGATTTTTGCGTGCGAAAGCCCAGACATCTGACATTTGGATAGCGTCATTTTTATTTCTTTATTGTTTTTGGTTCGAAAGTTTCGATTTCCCAAAATTCCTCGATACATGACAAAGTTACCCTGCTACCATGTTTTCGGCTTTTTCCGGGCCTATTGCTACGATACGACTTTGAAGTTGAGTCATTAATTTTCAGATAATGATTGTAGAAGGAAGATAAACCAACATATGTGTGTAAAAATAAAAAAAAATAAAAAAAATGTTTACCTTGTTTTATAAAGTATCCTCCCGACAAGTATTTCAGTGCGGACGTGTATTTGATCGTGAGGTCTTGGAGCACCGGCATGCCGTCCATATGTGAGGTCTTAAGTCAAATGATTCACGAACCCGTTGTACTACATTAACAAAGGCACGAGGGGTTGGTTGCACTCGATTGGGAAACCGATCCGCATAAACATGTGCCATTTTTTATTTCGTTTGAGCCACGCAACAGACACTATTCACACGCGACTGACACTGACTGTATGTATAACTGAACTGAATAAAATAATTGTAAAAACATCGTTCCAAATTCTTTCGCTTTTTTGTTTCCGATGCGATGGACCGATAAGGCGGATTATATCCGTTGTTGCCAAACACGAGCACATGATATTATTGAGACAGGGCGGTACTCAAACTTCCAAAGGGCTATAACTTTGTTACTTTAATTTTACCAGAAAAATGGTAAAGGAAAAAAACATTTCTTTTGATCAGATCTACTCACTGTTAAAATAAATGACTCAACTTCGAAGTCACAAGATGCAAGATAAAAATTATATAGCGATTGAAAAAAAACATTTTGAGCGGTAGGAAACGAACCTGACTGTTAGAATTCCCGTCAGATTTCGAAAAAGCAAACTTTTAAGGCCTCAAAGGTACTGATGACAAGCCATTTTTCGGCGTCCCTTGTCTTCTTCGTTACGAATCGAGATAGTTATGATTTTTGTTCGCAAAACGAAAGACCAAAGTCTCGTGATTAACCCCATATGCAACATCTTAACCGATCGCATTTTTTAAATTCGGGGGATTACAAAATTCCACGTTAAGCAGTTATATTTTGAGTTTGACAGAGTTCCCCCATTTTCGGCTTTCTGGCGATCGCTTCGTCCAATACTGGATCATGCCGAATAGCACGGTCCTTTTTTTGGGCAAACATTTTTAAATAGATTCCGAATTTCTATATTCTAAAACTACCGGGCTATAATAATAACATCCAAACACGATTTGCGCATACGCGTTGCGAACGAAATGAATACGCTTGTTGAATTTTAAGAAATTACATACAATCGAGTCAAAATTTGATTTTGTTTAGGCATGCACGATGGTCGTGCCAGGGTTAGAAGGCGACGTGGTGACAGGAGGAATCCACAGTTTTTTGTTGAAAGACATGTTCTTCACACTGTTGGAGTTATGGTTTGGGGTGCTATAGCTTATGGTTCCAGGTCACCTTTAATCTTCATCAGAGGTAGCATGAACGCGCAGCGTTATATCCACGAAGTTCTAGAACCCCTTATTTTACCCTATCTTGACACCCTGGCAGATCCAACTTTCCAACAAGATAATGCCCGACCACATGTTGCAAGAGTCACAATAGACTTCTTTCAACATAATGATGTCATATTGTTACCATGGCCACCAAGATATCCCGACTTATCCCCAATTGAGCACGTGTGGGATGTGACCACCTGATCAGAAGCATGCCTAGGGGCGTTGGAGAATGCGTAGCACATCAGGGTGCATCCACACATTATTAAAGGTCAAAGGGCTTTAAAGCAGTGCAATCATTTTGAAATTTTTATCATTTACTTATTATGCTTCATTAAGTACTTATACAAAATTTTATTAAAATATAACCATTTAAACTGGGTGTTCGGATTTATATGTCACTTAGTATATATTGTTGATTGTTTATTCATGTTTACATTATTTTCTTCAACTGATATGCGATTTTACTGATTTAACATCACCTACCGTGTGTTTAAACACCTCTACTTGATAGATATTGCGGATTAGTTTATTAATTTTTGCTAAAAAAATCACAAGTGCCTTGGAAAACAAAAAATCATTTCTGCATGGAGATTTGACATTTGCGCGTCAGTCCAAGCGTCAACAGAATCGATTAAATATTTTTCAAAATTGAAATAATCTCTGCATCTTTACAATAGTTCAAATAAATGCCTCTTGATTTTTTGCAATATTTTTTGGAAACTCTTTGTATAGAAAACGACAGCGTTATACCTCAAATTACTCATAATTACCTTCTAGCAGGTGTCGGTTTCACGCTCTTAGGTTGTGAAGAATGCAACGCCATTTCTTCGTTTTCTTCATCTTCATCTCCAAAGGGGTTCAAATTAACGGGATACTTTTCTTCAGTCTTCTTCTCAGCAACCGGTTCTTCTATCGCTGAGGTTTCGAAGACTTCACTTTGCTCCTTTGAATATTCACTTGAAACCGAATCACTTATCACTATAACATCACTTGGACTACTTTCGATCATTACTACACTCGAGTCCGCTGCTGAATCTTCATCGTTATTTTTAGAAGTTACCGATTCGTTTGTAGCATCAACTAAGTGGCTATTCGAGTTATCTGTTTTACTTTCACTGCTAACATTAGTAATGTCTTCTTGCCTGCCTCTAATATCACTAGCTTCAGTTGCTGAATTTCTGCTTTCGGAATCATCTAATTTACTTATCGCTTTTGTATCATTACTACTGGTAGCATCAGAAATATTGCTACTGATTCCTAAGTCTTCTGTGTTCGAGTAATTTGTTCTTCGTGATTCACTATCATTCAAACTATTATCGCTAATTTCTGAATCTTTCTCGTTCAAGATTGATGCTTTATCTGTTTTACTTTCACTGCTAGCACTAGTAGTGTCTTCTTTCCTGGCTCTGATATCAATTACTAAATGTCTGCTTTCGGAATCATCTAATTTACTTATCGCTTTTATATCATTACTACTTGTATCAGAAACATTGCTGCTAATTCCTAAGTCTTCTTTGTTCGAGTAACTTACTTTACTATCATTCAAATTATTGCCGCTTCTTTCTGAATCTTTCTCGTCCAAAAGTTGTGCTTCAATATCACTTGTCTCTTCTAGTTCACTGTGCTTTAAATTGTCTTCATTCTGAGATAACTTGACGTCATCAGACTCATCTTTGGTAACATCTTGAGTTTCCTCGAGCTTATGGCTAAACTTGTAACTAACACTAGGTAAACCACTGTCACTGTCCACAGTTTCCGCAATGTCTTTGTAGGCACTTTCACTGTCGGCAACTTCCGAGTTTGAGTTTTCTTCGCTGTTAAAAGTCATTTGACTGACGAAGTGGGACCGCGCGTCGGCGAACTCATCCAGGATCTTCGACTGCACGCTTTCCATCGCTGTTTCGAACATCGCACTATAGTCGTCTTCTTCATCGTGCGAGTGCGTCCTGAGACCGGCGGTTTTTTCTTCGTCGCTCATGGAGCGCTGTCGAAGAAGCCTTTCGGAAGCGGATTTTTCTTCATCGGGACACACTTCGCAGCAGATGTCGCCGCTCTCGGTCCGGTAGTAGTTGTCGACAGTGAGGAGCGTGGCGCAAAGTGCGCACTTGAAGCACGTGCGGTGGTAATGCAGTTTGCCTACTTTAAGGCGTTCCGTGAGCGAGACCGGAAGCTCACATCTAGCGCAACGTTCTTTGCGGACGAGGCCAGAGCTCGCGGTCGAGATCTGGAAAGAAAATAAGCGTTTTTAATATTGAATATGGTCCAAGAGGCGTATTAGTAGTACATTCATGGAAATTGTGAATACAGGGTGTTTTCAAAGTTGAGTCATTTATTGTAAATGCTTGTAGGACTTGTTACACGGAGTTGATAAACGTGCTCCTGTTAAGCATCAATATGCATTTTTTTGATGTAGAATATTTTATGATATGTCTACCAGTTGCATCCGTATCGGATGTATACAGGAAATTGGTACGCCATTGCTTTTATACAGGGTGACGGGGAGATAGTACAAGCCAATCTGAGTAGATTTTACTATAGGAACTACTGTCCGAAAATTAGCCGTTTTCGAATTATACTAATTTTTAAGATTCTATAAAATTAACGTCCCTTATACGTTAACCAAGTTATAAAACTTGAAAATCGGGTGTTTCGTTAGATTTTTTTTGTTTTACAAAAAAAATATTCTAAAATACGAAAATTGATACTTAAATGTACATTATTGACGTTATATCATGCAGTAAGCTTCAAAATAGTTCGATTTTTGTTAAAAAATCTTCGTTCATCTCAAAAGCTTCAGTTTACTAGAAAAAGTCGCATACAAATTTCACGTACAAAATAATTAGGAAACATCTACGTTTCATTACCTTTCAAATGAGGTATCAAAGTCACAAACCGGTTTAGAAATGACAAATGACATGATACACATCATTTTTTGAATCCTCATTTATTTTGTTGTGTTTATAAACACTTATTTTAATCAATTGACTTTAGTTAAATAAAAATTAAACAAAACCGCATCCTACGAATTTTTTCCTAATTTTTTTAAGTTAAGAGGTTTATTTTACATAAACTTTTCTTACTGAAATGAGCTAAGGAATGATATCCTGTATTTTTAGCCATCAACTAAATTACACCCTGTATGACGTAAAGAAGAAACATATATATATATATAACTTGAGACGTGGTCATTGTCGTCTAGACCAGTTAGGTGAAAAATTAAAGCTTCCGCCTTTTGTTGGGTACTTCGACAAAATTTAAGCAAAGAGGACTCTTAATACTTTTTTAATTCTCTCTAGCTTTCAATGGACTTTGCCATCATCATCAGGAGCTGCAATTACAATGATAACAGTAGCAACAAAAGTGTAAAATGAATTTAAATTGACTCAACTTACAGTAGTATGTGAGGATGTTACTAATTGTTGTTTACGTATAGGATGAGGGAAACGTCCAGTAACATGGTGAGAGTTGGATAGATGGTACAATGGTCAAAATTATATAAAATATGACAAGAACAAGTTAAAAACAGGTTAAAAATTATTTAAAAACATTAGAGCATTACATCGTGAAGCCACTTGATGATTGCACAAATTAGTGGTCATGGAATGATGAGTGACATGAAACCCTTTGACAGAAGGCCGAAGGATGTCAATGTCAGTATTGAAAGATGGAACGAATTGTGGGCGTGTGCCAAAACGTTGCCAAATCACTTCAGATGATGAGATTTTCAGAATTTTATGTTAGAATTTGTTAAACCGACCAGAGGCAGTTGAATAAACTATATTATTATTAATGGGAATTTAAATTAACAATTATTAATAAATCGTGAGGAGAGAATTATTATATTTTGAGTGGAATGAAATTTACTGGTAGAATCGGCCAAAACACAGATTCTAATTATGGTTGTGAAGAGTTGAAATTTGGGGAGATATGTAAGTTCTCCAATTTTTCGCAGTTTAGCAAATATGAGTAAATGACACTCAGTTGCTTAACATCTGTCTTTTTGTTGATACAGTTGTTATTCATTAAAATGTGGGACATTTCCAGGAATAAACGTTTGGAAAGGTGTTTTTCTTTATCAAGAACTTTGATACTTGTGTAATTCATAGAATGCCCTGTTGTGTTAACATGAGATGCTAGAGCGCATCTTTCAGGATGAAACCTAGCATCACTTTTGTGTGATGTAATCCTTCCTTAAACAACACAGTCTACTCCATCAATTGCAACAACTGCAACCAAATATACATAGGTCAGACCTCCAGATCTCTTAAAGGAAGGATTACATCACACAAAAGTGATGCTAGGCTTCATCCATTCAAAATCTAATAATTCTCTTCTCACGATTTATTAATAATTGTTAATTTAAATTCCCATTAATTAAAATATAGTTTATTCAACTGCCTCTGGTCGGTTTAACAATTTCTCACATAACATTCTGAAAATCACATCATCTGAAGTGATTTGGCGACGTTTGGCACACGCCCACAATTCGTTCCATCTTTCAACACAGACATTGACAACCTTTGGCCTTCTGTCAAAGGGTTTCATCTCACTCACTATTCCATGACCACCATTTTGTGCAATCATCAAGTGGCTTCCCGATGTAATGCTCTAATGTTTTTTAAATAATTTTAATCTGTTTTTAACTTGTTCTTGTCATATTTTATATAATTTTGACCATTGTACCATCTATCCAACTCTCACCATGTTACTGGACGTTTCCCTCATCCTATACGTAAACAACAATTAGCAACATCCTCACATACTACTGTAAGTTGAGTCAATTTAAATTCATTTTACACTTTTGTTGCTACTGTTATCATTGTAATTGCAGCTCCTGATGATGATGGCAAAGTCCATTGAAAGCTAGAGAGAATTAAAAAAGTATAAAGAGTCCTTTGCTTAAATTTTGTACCCAACAAAAGGCGGAAGCTTTAATTTTTCACCTATATATATATATATATATATATATATATCTTGAATGTTAGCTTAATCTTAGCGTTAAAGCGGTGCAAGGTAGATCTGAAGCTAGTAGTAACTACAGGTGTGCAAGTAAATAAAATATAACTATACCTTAACAAAATATTTCGGGTTTGTACTGTCCAATTATGTCCAGAGTTTCTTCCTATAATAAACAGTGTGGGTTACAAAACAAGCATAAGCTGGATGAAAACACAACAGATGAGATGATATCCTTGTGCAATGTACCTTTCACTTTCCACGCCAACTGGCGGAAAGGCGCGTCTTAATATCATGTTCCTAACCTAAAATTTAGGCAAAAGTAAATTTTATACGGAAATTCCTTCCATTTTTTTTTATAAACTATTTTTTCAGGAATTCTTTTATTCAACAAAACAAAATCACTCTTTTTGAAAATATTACAAAATATCGCTAAAAGGTAAGTAAGTGATTCATATTTTTTGTTAAAATTCATATTCGCTATCATAGCAATGCATTTATTTAATTTTTTTTTGAGAAAAATAATTTCTATAGCAACGTTGAAAAAAGCCCTCTAGTGGCCACATTGAATTTGATACTTTTGCCATTCCTGTCTTGCTAAATTGTTCGGAACAACACCGTTTTCGATGCCTAAATATACAGGATGTTAAAATAAAAACGTTTCATTTTATATACAGAACTTTTTTAAGTGTGTCGATTGTCAAGGGAAAAATTTCGTCATACAGTAAAACGCAAGCATGCATTAAATAATACTATCGTGGTTTCTATAAAAAATATTTACTTAAGGCAAGTAGTTCTTGTAGCATGTTTTCGCATACTTATAGTTGTTGTCTTGATCTATGGAAGCTGACAAGTTAAACTGGTAATTTATCTGATTGTAATTCTTTATAAATAATAATAGGTACATTGAGTATTTGCATAATCTGCTCGATTATTAAAGTATTCTTAGCAAACATAAAATATTCGTCTTTGAAAGTAAAATATATATCAGTATCAAACCCAACGTTCGGCAATTTAACAGATAGTAGTCAGTAATTATACAGGGTTACACATCGAAAACGAAACAGACGCATTTACTGGCAGGTCAGTTTTTTTTTTTTGAAAAACGCCCAGACCCGTCGATTTTGTTTTCGAGGGGGACACAAGTTTGGCAAAAAATCACGTTAACACGTGCAGCCCCCTGGGCGGGGGTGACACCAACCCTAAAATCTTAAATGGAAAGGGGGGTCGAGTGATACCTTATTTTAAAGGTGTCCCCCTCGAAAAGAAAATCGACGGGTCTGAGCGTTTTTCAAAAAAAAAAAACTGAGCTGCCAGTAAATGCGTCTGTTTCGTTTTCGATGCGCCACCCTCTATTAGAGATATTAACTAGATACAAAGTGCATAGTTTTTAGGATAGCCATTTACATTCATAGGTAGCATTCCTATAGAAAATTTGGAGAACTGATCAATCAAAATTCAGGCAAACATGCATCAGAAGTATCACCAACACCACTAACACTTTTGATCAAAATATACTAAGTGACATATGAATCCGAACACCCGGTTTAAATGGTTTTATTTTAATAAAATTTTGTATAAGTACTTAATGAAGCATAATAAGTAAATGATAAAAATTTCAAAATGATTGCACTGCTTTAAAGCCCTTTGATCTTTAATAATGTGTGGATGCACCCTGATGTGCTACGCATTCTCCAACGCGTCTAGGCATGCTTCTGATCAGGTGGTCAATGTCCTCCTGTGGTATCTCATTCCAGGCCACCACCAACTCCTCGAAGTGCTTCTAGAGTCTGAGGAGGACGTTGCAAATTGAGCAATCTCCTACCCATCATATCCCACACGTGCTCAATTGGGGATAAGTCGGGAGATCTTGGTGGCCATGGTAACAATGTGACATCATTATGTTGAAAGAAGTCTATTGTGACTCTTGCAACATGTGGTCGGGCATTATCTTGTTGGAAAGTTGGATCTGCCACGGTGTCAAGATAGGGTAAAAGATGGGGTTCTAGAACTTCGTGGATATAACGCCACGCGTGCATGTTACCTCTGATGAAGATTAAAGGTGACCTGGAACCATAAGCTATAGCACCCCAAACCATAACACCAACAGTGTGATGAACATGTCTTTCAACAAAAAAATGTGGGTTCCTCCTTTCACCACGTCGCCTTCTAGCCCTGGCACGACCATCGTGCATGCCTAAACAAAATCGAGACTCGTCACTAAAGACAATACTGTTCCATTCCTGATCCCAGAGTGACCGTTGTCTGCACCACTCAAGGCGATTACGTCGGTGTTCTCGAGTTAAAGGGAGGACCCAGTGTGGCCGGTATGAAAACAAGCCAAAACTTCTCATTCGTCGGTAAACACTTCGCATGCCAATAGGTCTTTCGTGTTCTGCAAACCATTCATTTGCAATCGACCTGGTGGTGGAGAAACGGTCCCTTAAGGCCAATAATCTTAGGCGGCGATCTTCACGGTCTGTTGTTCTACGGCGGCGTCCAGTGCTCCTTGCTCTTTGCGTACGGCCTTCTCGAAGCCATGCCTGACAACACCTAACCACAGTGTCTACACTTCTTTGCACTCTAACTGTAATTGCCCGAAAAGAAAGTCCAGCTTCCCGAACCGTACAGGTCTCCATACTCTAGGCATCGTAACCGATCGTACAGGATGTCAAGAACCAAAATCCGCCAACGTTGATTCCTTACTGCGGCTGAAATATTCATTTTTAGAGCGTTAGTGAATTAAAAAAAAGCAGTATAAAAACCGGAATGTCCAACTGATAAGGCTGAAAATTTGTTCACTTGTTATTTACAGTAAGATAAATACATTCACCAACTTTTATTAAAATAAAACCATTTAAACTGGGTGTTCGGATTTATATGTCACTTAGTATATGTTTCAGCTTTCTTCTAATACATACAGGGTGGCCCATGAAAAGTTCGCATTCCCATTTGCGAGTCTCCTGGAATATTTTGGGAAATACGCTCGGAAATGACAATTTTGAATTCTAGTGGGACGTATTTTCATCTATAGCCTTACTATACAGGATGATCCAAATTAAGATATTGCCTTACACTTTAGATTTCTAAATGGAGACACGCATTTTTTCTTAGTTTTTAGATTTTTCATGAAGCTTGTAGTAATTTTTATATAATAAAGTATGAAAGGAGGCATAATAAACGTCCGCAAACAGATCATTGTTTATTTTTCATTCTTCAGATCCGCGCAATCTGTATTGGCCTACCTGTGCTTGCTTTCCTTTCAAATATTGATTGCCTTATTGCCCATTTCCAACACCTTTTGGATAACCACTTTCCAATGGTAAATTATGTCTGTTATGATTTCGTATTGATTCTTCCGTGAATTTAATCTTTTTATTTATTTGTCGTTATCCATACTCACAAGTACCACCTTACGTTCACTAGTATAAGCATTTTGAAAAAAAAAATGGAGAAATACGTACCCCAGACAGAATATGTATGTACAATACACAAACATAGCAAAGATAAGCAGATACAGGGTATTCTCAAAGTTGAGTCATTTATTTTAATTGCTTCTTCTAGGACTCGTTGCATAATAAAAGAAATAGTAAAAGATTGAAAATTTTGAAAAATAGATTCGTAGACGTCAGGATTTTATCTAGGAGCTTGTAAAGAGTCGTGGAAATGGGGACAGTTTTGAACAGTTTTTGTAAAAACGGTATTCATTCAATCATATTTTTTTTTAATAATTTTGAATAATATAAACTAACTTTCTTATTATGCCACTTTTATATAGATGATTTTGTATATCAAAACTATAAGCCGTTAAAATAAATGACTCAACTTTGAAACCACCCTGTATACACATAAATCGATGATGATGAAATGAAAGCGGAAAACATAGTTATTCCTTAACCCACACTGTTTATCGTATATTTTTTCCACCACTTTCAACTCGCATCTGCGTGCAGAAAGTAGCACTTTTCCGCACGCGTAACCTTTCCGCACAAGTGCTACTTTCTGGACGCGCCTTGCGTGTTGAAAGCGAGTATTTTCCGCACGCTGTTAGAAACGATCATATACCTAACACTTGTTAGGTAAATAACTGTTGTCGTCCGTTTTGTGAACAAGTAAAGTTTAATAGTCGTTGCGAAAAGCGAAAACATGCACATGCACAAGCTTTAGATCACGCGTTTCCATAATTTGACAGGGCTATAGACGCTGTCCACGTGTTTTTGGGCAGGAACTTTAAGCAGATTTTAGATAAAAGTAATAGGGAAACAGGAGAGCAAGCGAACTGCGAGTTGTATCACTTTATAGGCGAAAAGTTTTGCAAAGTAGGAGGTTTGTTCCAAAAGTATCGCGAATTTCATGTGTTTTCAAGAATTATTTATTTATTCAAGAATATCTATTTTGTCGTCCCGTTCAAAGTAATCCCCATCAGACATTATACACTTGTGATAACGTTTTTTCCAATCCTCGAAGCATTTAGAAAACTCATTTTTCAGTTTCGGGAACAAGAAAAAGTCACAGGGAGTCAGGTCTGGGGAATACTGATCAACAGCCAAAAAATATCCTAAATAAAATCAACAAAATATTACTATTTTTAATGTGCTAAAACCGGAATGAAACTTATTTTTTCAATATTAGTTCAAGTTTTAGAGATACGGTAATTACATATATGTGTTCCTGCTGTGACAGTGTTAATATACTGTAATTCACAAGAATGCACGTGCTACATTTTTATATTCGGCAAGGAAAGTTGATGTAATCGGCATGATTGTGTTACGTTATACATACGTGTACATTATATTGTTTTATATTAGCCATTTTTTCCTCAGTTGGCTGGCAGCGTTCATGCAAGATGTCTCGAAAGTGTGTAAACATTCCAGATCAGTTTTGTTACGTGTGTGGTGATGTGACTTTTGCGTCTATTACTCCACTAATAACAAAGGCATATCAGCTTTATTTCGGTTGTAAACTAGGTGATCAAGACAAACAGTGGGCACCCCACATCTGCTGTAATACATGTGCTTCAAGTCTGAGGAGCTGGTTAAATGGCAAAAAACGGTCTATGCGCTTTGCTGTCCCAATGGTTTGGAGAGAGCCTACAAATCATATTAATGATTGTTACTTTTGCATGGTACCTTTTGTTGGACAAGCCACAGGTATGTGCAAGAAAAAAA